TTTTTTTATTAATGAAGTGGGACCTATTTGAATGAATTTAACACATGGTAATATGATTTGGCACGAGGGTAATATGAAATGTCAAAATGTTTGTCCATATCATCACTTTGCTCTCCACATCATAAAAAAAAATATAAAAAATGCCACATAAGCAAAGTTAACGGCCCAAATTAACAGAAAGACTAACGGAGTGCATTTCGTGAAGTTGAGGGATCAAAAAAGTGCAAAAATTTGTTGAGGGACCAAAAATGTTTATTTCTTAAAGTTGAGGGACCAAATTAAGCATTTAACCTAGGAAAAGCTGATATAACTCGGAAGCTACCTACCAAGTAGTAGGCTTCGAGGATGTGATGAACTTTTATTTTTTATTTTTTAAAGAAAATGAAGTGGTGTAAATATTTGATCAATAATAATAATAATAATAATAATAATAATATTAAAAAAAAAAAGAAGACTAACCAGGATCTAAACCTTGACCCAAAATAAAAACCGAGGCTCAAGACTTCACCTTAGGCTGCTGGGAGTTCGTACAACCTAGGACAATTCTTGCATTATTCAATGTTCATACTCGCACGCAAGGGGAGTTGAATAACAACTTTTATGTCGATTTTTTTCTTTCTTTCTCTCCCTGAATATATATTGCTTATATATATTTTGAGTTGAACTGGTCCTGTGATCCAAAACATACAATTCTCTGATTTTTTTTATTTAACTATTAGTAACTCTAGTTTAATGAATTAAAAATTCAATCCTATATTTTATTGGATGCATCCATACTTGGGGTTCTAGTAACTAGAGAATCCAATGACCAGGGACCCAAGAATGGTAAACACAAAACAGGCATTGTTGACAATTGGGCATTTTAATACTGATGCAAATCACCTTTACTTATTCAAATAGTACACGCATTTGCACCACCTTTGAAGAAATTTTCGTAAATTTGATCCAAATGAAGGTGTTTTTTAGTTTGCATTTTATTTTCTCATTTAATTAATTTTATTAATTAATTAAAATTAAAATGAAGTAATTTTTTTTATTTTCAATTATGATCTAGTAACTATAATTGTGATTATATGTTTTTTTATTAATTTTTAAATAAATCTTAATTAAAACTTTCTAACCACTCTATATATTTTAAATTTTCATTCTTTATTGTATTCTATCTGTCTCTATTATTATTATTATTGTTATTATTATTAGTATTATTTGCTATGGGTTATGCAAGAGTTATTTTTCAGTTCTTCACATTAGATTTTAGATTCTATATTATGTTTTTATCAACTTTTAAATTTTATAAGGTTTTTTTAATCAAAAGGTTATAATTAAGTACTTAAGACTGTCTTTGAGATTGAGTTGGTAATTTTGTACACTCTTCATCTTTTGTTTTTCTGGATTATTGTATTTTTATAATAATTATTAGACTCTTACATACTTTTTCTTCTAGTCTTCTATTTAATAATAATACATGAAATCTTAAGAATGCTTAGTATGCTTGTCTAAATTTATTTTTCACATCAAGAAGAAAATTAAAATGCACATCCCTTTCTCTTCTTTTAGTTTAATATATACATATATATGTTGCTGTGTATTAATCTTAACTCCCAAAAAATTTAGAGTTCTAACCTATATTTGAAAACTAAAATCTCAATTCAAAATTTAGAAATCTACTATATTAAATGTTGATATCTAAATTTAAAAGCTGATTATATGTTTTAATATAATTAATTTTCAAATCTAAATATTAACATTTAATTAAATAAATTTTTAAATTTTAAATGAAATTTTAATTAAATAAAACGATGTAATTTAAGATAAAAATTGCAATTTATTTTTGGAGTCGGAATTGATATGCATTTTTTCCATATGTATGTATGTATTTATGTATCTTTAAGTAACATAAAATAAAATCTAACAAAAGTTATACAAAGATTATATATGTTAACATTTCAAATAAGATTATATATGTTAACATTTCAAATAAGATTATATAAGTCTTCTTCTCTTACTAACAACCTAAGTAATTTAGTGATAATTTTGTTCTGTTAGAAGTGAGAGATTCTAAATTCAAGTTGTGTGACATGCAAGTGGGGTGGAATGAGGGATGGAAGAGAGTTGCCTCTCATTTTACAACCAAGGTAAAAAAAAAAAAAAAGAAGGTCTTCTTCTCTTTATCAAACTCTTTTTACACTTTATTTCCTCATACACATTTGTTAGATTTTTACTTGATTAATTTGATGACTGTCCAATTTCATTTGATGTTCCCAAATCAGTTTTAGTATTTTATCATTTGAGATGGTATTTCCATGTTTCTACATAAAAAAATAAACATTAAGTGTTAGTGAATAAAAAATATAAACTATATTTTATTATTTTTACAAAAAAAAAAAAAAAAGAGAAAACAATAGACTTTACCTTCGAATAAAAAACCATTTTGTTAACAATAAGAGACTCAATTACACCAATCTTACTGAAACTACTTGTTTTTAATTGGAATATATGAGTAGTATCTATCAAATTGAATAATGTTGGAGGAAGTTAATATTCT